GCGATTTGACCTCTTTTCCCTGATCTTTCTCTTGAGAGGTTGTCAGTGAGATCTGCCAGCCACGTATGACAGACGAAAAGGAGTTTGGAATAAGCCCCCATATATTTAATACCATTAGGATTGTACTGTGATCTGCTCTGCATCTTTAACTGTTACAGTGGCAGAGTTTCCAAATTAATAGACTGCAAGATAGAAACACACCTCATTTTCTTGATACTAGACAGCTTGGGGTGACCATCTGTTTTTGCTGAAATATGTAGATAATTTTATATAACTTGCTTTTCTATGTCTGCTTGAAATAAATTTCCTCTAAGGACTGTTATTGATGATTATGCAATCGTTATGAAGGTAGCAGAGCATGCAAAAGTCTTTTTTCCATTAACATGTTGTTTTTATGGATAGAAGATTTTGGCAGGAACTGGTTCTGATACAACCTAACATTTAGGTTTTGTCTAGGTTAATACAATATTGAAGTAGGTTGTCACTGAACATTGAAGAAGGCTTTAAAAACTGTTGTCTGAAGTTAGTCATCTACTGAGGTGCATTACAAAATTACTTACTTTTAATTAGAATATTAGAGAATTTATCAGGAAAAGTTAATATTTTAAAGTATATGGGGACTCATAGCTGTAGCTAATTACAGGCCAGCAAGCTTGTCTGCAGACAAAGTAACAGAGTGCTTAATAAAAGACTCAAAAAATGAAGATTGGAAAAATAAGTTCTGTGGTATCTTTGTCATTTCACAACATGTGAGATTGCCTGAAGGAACTGGCCTTTTGACCCCTTGCTACAGAGATATTTTTGATCTGTTTTATTAATTTAATCTTTTTGAACCTAGCTACAGTCTCAGTCATTTTCAAAATTACTGTCCTACAAGTAATAGTTACATTATTGGAGGAAATAAAAGGGCTGTATGCAAGTTTTCTCATTTAATGTCATATGCCTTTATTAAAAGGGCAGCAAACACTTAAAAAGCCCATATATAACTATATGTGGTTATATATTATTTATAACTAAACTATATTGTGTAAGTTATTCTTTCCAAATGCAAGTTGAGAGAAGGTGCATAAAAAAGCCTAAATGTTTGAGGAGTGATGCTTTTTTATCAGGAAAGATTTGTCCTGTATCTCTTTCAGGAACTTCTGCAGATATTGAATGCTCCAGTAATCAAAGTGTCAGTAGGAGTCCATCGATGTTTATGGCAGCGTGGCTAACAGAATTCCCCAGAGTAGACTCAGATGCAACAACAAAAGTGTACTCATACCTGTGTAACTTGTTTTGCACAAGAGATGGATTAATTTTTACTGTATCAGCATAAACCACTACTTGGCTATTACAACATTGACGGCTCCAGGAGTATGCTGATGATGTAGTATATTAGTATACCTAGTGTAAACATTACCTTAAAGAGCCTAATCTTAGTTTGAAAAAATGACTATACCGACACATCTACTGTGTACAGGTACAGGAGCAAATACATTGTACAGAAGAGG